GTCAGGTGCGTGTGAAGCCGTCTGTCCCTCAGCTGTTTGGCGGCAGCGAGGATGAGGAGGATGGTGATGAAGAGGAGGATGGCAGCAGGTTTGACGTCAGGCCTCAGTTTGAAGGTCGAGTTGGACAGAAGGTGAGGAAAGAGTGTGTGTGTATATGTGTATACATATATACTGCTCCCTAAGCTTAAATAAATAAGCTTAAATATTCGTTTTATTCAAATGCAAACCCATAAGTGTGTGTGTGTGTGTGTGTGTGTGTGTGTGTGTGTGATGTCCAGCTGATGGCGCTTCAGTCTCGCTTCGGGACAGACGAGCGATTTCGAATGGACTCTCGCTTCCTGGACGAAGAGGAGGAGGAGGAGGAGGAGGAGAAGTCAGGTGAGGCTGTGGGGGGGTTCAGTGTCTGTAGAACAGCACGTCAAAGACAGCGATGAAGAAAGGATGACGTTTCTTTACTTCCAAGTATCGTTAACGTTCGCTAACTTTACTTCCAGAAAGGTAAAGTTACTGGGGATGCTGATTAGTGCGACAGATCATTTTTTGGGATGGTGGAGGATACAATTCAACCAATCAGGAGGACTCAATGTGTGACTCCACAGATGCATTCAGGCGCGAGACTTCACATTAAAACAGTAATTAGCTTATCGGTCCATTCGTCCGTCTTTCACATCGATTAGTTTAACTCGTTGATGTATTTTAATACATTTTTGTCGTAGTTTTCGTTTTTCAAAGAGTTATTTTTATTACATTTTTGATCTCGTTTTGTTTTGAAATTGAATTCTGGAGCCTGTCACAGTATACAGTTTGTTGGAAAGATAAAAGGTTGTTAAAATCTAAAGGACGTCAAACGGGATTTGAACCAGTACGATGCTGTGAGGTTTCACGCTTGCTCACTTCTTCAGCTGACATTTGTGTATCTTATGTCGTTGTGATGCGAAGCACATTTGGTTTTATTTACGGCCATCAGACGATGGCCGTTGGTGTGAAATGCTGTTCGTCCTGCTTCTTCTTCCTGGTGAATAACGCGACTGTTTGTGATTCAGAGAAGAAGAAGAGCGTGACTGAGGAAGAGGAGGCTCTGGAGGAGGAGAGGAAGAAGAACCTGTCGATCTTGCAGAGCGTCCTCGGCAGCAGCCAACAAACACACAGCAGCAAGACGGCCGTCAAGGCCAAGGCCTTCAGGTGAGCCACGTGAACTCTCACACATTCAGTCTGACGGGAACATTTTATATTTAATAGAGAATTAATCAAATAAATCTAAATGTGTGTGTTTGCAGAGACGTCTCGGCGCTGCATTACGACCCGAGCAGAGAGGAACACGCTGCGTTTGAGACCAAAACAGATGAAACCAAGAAGGAGAGGTACGAACACAGAAACCATGAACTCATCCATTGATTCTGGATCTGCACCGTTATTGATCTTAAAAACCAGATAACATATTGGCTAGACTTCACCGATCCACATTAAAGGTTGAGGCTATAGTTTGTTTTTGTTATTGTTAACAAATCCCATGAAGTGACTTCCCGCCCCCGTCTGTGGCACTCAAACTTAATCTAAGAAATGCTTCGTCTTTTCCTGAAACAGGTGGATAGATAGATACTTTATTTCTGTAGTTTATTACTGTAGTTTGTAGCACATTGTACTCAAAGAGGAGGAAATAGAGAACATGTTGGGCACTATTCATTTGGTGCTCGAGTAATTTTGGTGACAGGTTTTGATGTAAGAAAAGCAGGGAATAGAAAAGATTGTCCTGCATCGATTTTGATTATGTTAGAGTATAGAGTATCAGAACTGCAATGCTTCATCAATGCAGTACTCTTTAAATATATATTGTAAAATGAGAGAAAAACATTCCTTTGTAACTACAATATTGGGTATATGTTTTGCAGAAAAAAACTAAATTGAATCCATTCTCAAGTGATTCTAGAACACAATCAAATGTAAGAAAAAAACTTCTATAACTAAATTTAATGCTTAAAAAAAGATACTGAACAATAATGTCGAATGCAGGAGCAGCAAAGAGCCCTCAACAGAATGAAATAGTAAAGACAACAAGTTGTACATAATTAACTGATTTAAAGTTGATCTTGTCATTTCATATTAAAGTCTTCACATTGAAAAGTACTCAACTGTATCATGTCCCTGTCATCAGCTCTAAATGTTCTCCAGTAAAACGGTCATGTGATCTGTCGTCTTCACAGCAAGGCGGCCAGGAGGAAGAAGAGGGAGGAGGCCCAGAAGCTTCCGGAGGTCTCGAAGGAGATCTACTACGACGTGTCCGGGGACCTGAAGGCCGTGTTCGGTCAGACGAAGGACGAGGACGTCGCCGGAGGAGGAGACGAGGAGACAAACTGGGACCGAGAGGAAGAGGCGAAAGAAGAAGAAGACGGAGGAGGAAAGGAAGAACAGCCGACCCTTCAGTCGTCTCTCCTCTCAGCTGATCCCGGAGCAGAGAACGAGGAGGCGTCCGGATTCAAATTCTCCTTCTTTGAGGACGACACAGAAACAGGAAGTGGAGAGACGGGTAGGTTCATACGTCAGATGTTTATCTCACACTCTCAGAGGGAAGATTTGGGTTTCCTAATTCTTTTTTAAATCTCTCTTCCAGCGGAGTACAAAGTAGAGAGCATCCAGGCGCCAAAGGTCTCATGGCAACAAGACCTGCGCTTCCAAGACAGCAGCTCAGAGGAGGAGGAAGAGGAGGAGCAGCAGCAGGAGGAAGAGGAAGAGCAAAGCAACGTCACCGCTAAAACCACAGAGTGAGAACAATGAAGATTCAATTCAAATTAATTAAATTAGTTTGCTTCAAACAAGTTTTAGTTTATTTGCACAATTTACAAAAATACACAAACATAACGGAGATGAATAATATCAGTGCGCTGAGCTTATTTAAAGCCTAAATAATGTCATATTTCACAATATTATTAACATAAGATTAATATACAAAAGATATGAGGTATTTTTACAAGGTATATTGTATGACTTGATCACATCTACAGTCAATGTATTTACGATCATTATTGATTAGTCTGCTGAGTATTTTCCAAATTTAGTTGTTTGTCTATAAAATGTCAGAAAATTGGGAAAATTCTACGTTATAATTTCCCAAAGCCCGTCTTCAAATTACTTGTTTTATTCACAATCTGTACGAAACCAAAATAATATTAAAATTAACATAGTTTATGACCAATAAGACATTTTTGACTGAAACAATAAATAAATTATCAAAATAGTTGCTGATTCACTTTCCGTTGATGAATGAATCGAATACTTGTTCAAGGATGAGACGTAACGAATCATCAAGCTTTGAAAAAAGTGCCAAAAACCTGCTCCTTCAGACCTCCATACACCCGAAAAATCACTGCATGAAATTGATGTAATTGTTTCAGGAAGATACTAAACTCTGTCTGTTTGTGTTCACAGAGAGGAGACGCCTTCAAAGACGGATCTCTTCTTCTTCTACCTTGGTGACAGCAGACTGACGGGTAGGATGACAATATGAAAACACATTTTTATGGGATTCATTTAAATGTTCCCCTGAAGTTGATGAGGCTTTTCTCGTGCGTCTTTTTCCTCCATCAGAGGGTCCCAGGTTGTTCTGTCGTCCCTCTCAGCTGGAGGAGCAGAGGGAGCAGTGGGAGGAGAGGAGGAGCGAGCTCAGACAGGTACACTGAACATCTTCAGGCAGTATCAAAATATGTTTGAGGGGCTTCTTGCTAAACACTTTTGGGTTTGTCGGTCATTTTTATCACTCTATGGGTTGATGTTAGTGTGTAGTTTTCATTGTGACAGCAGTTCTTCGCCTTTTTATGGAGGAAAAAACAGTAATTATGTGCAGTAGACCAGCAACACATCTGGTGTTTGCTTGTGCTCTTTGACCTGTGAGTACAAGGAAATGTCCCATTCTTCCTTGACCACTTCTCCTTCTAGTAAGCTACTAGTCCAGTATTGATCCGTGTTTCCTCCCTCCCTCGGTCACTCTCCAATGCCTCTGCTGAAACCTTGCTATGCTAAGCTAGTAGTTCAAACATAGAGAGTTACTTCCATATTGGTTGGTAAAGGGAATTTACAGATTGTGCCACACATTCTCTAATCTAAATACACGTATGGTTTAAGAAACTGTTTTTCAACTCTCCTTATAATTATATATTCCCCTTTTTGTATGTGTTAAAGAAAATGAACCTTGCTTAATATCGACCTCAAACTGAGAGGAGGCCTGAACTGAAATCAGGAAGTTTTAATAAAGATATTTACGCTTTTCTGTCCGTTTCCACAGGAGTACCGCAAAAAACACAAGGATGCCAGGAGGAAGCTGAGATCCTCCCTGAAGAGCTGAGGATTATGGGAAGTGAAGTCTCTGTTCCAGTTCACTGGTCTGGTTTTCAGAATCAGGAGCTGACGGATTATTTCTCCCCTCTTGGTGCCGTTTTGTGCACCAGACTGATTTCAACAGTCAGCAGGAGGGACACCACATGGCAGCTGAAGACATCGAGTGAAAGTTCAAGATCATCAAAGTATCTCATTTATTTTTTGCTGTCGGTCCATCTTGTTTGGTTTTGTTGTTAGTTGCTTTGAAAATAATGCTGCAAATAAACATACAGCACATAATGCGACAGCAGCAGCCAATCACAGCCTCAGAGGTCCAAACCTGTTATTAAAAAAATTCTATAAATAAGCAAACTAAATGGTCTAATTAATAAGAAATATGTGCCTTAACAATGAAATAAAGACAGTTTTGGTCTTCCATACATCCCATCTCCTAAAGTTATTAGACTAAAGTGTGTGATTGTTGTGTTCTGATGACTCATTGTGGACTTTAGTTCTTGCCTCAGTGTCTCTTTGCTCTGTGAAATAAAGTAAAATTATTGTTTTGTGACGTTCAAATATGAAGCTTTCAGTTTGTGGGAAGTCACTCAGTGTATAGATCCATGAAAGCTAAAACTAATGCAGTTTAAATTTAGTAATCCAG